AGCTGATCAGGATCAACCGTCTATTCGCACTGTTCGGACGAGGGGGTCGCATTTATGATTTTGGAAGGGAGGGGGAGGGGGCGGGATCACATTCTGTCGTTGAGCAAGGTTAACTACCTCTGGGGGAAGTGTGAACGGGGGTTGTCTTTGAAGGACCCCTCCCCTATTGCTACGGCCGTTTTGGAGGAACAAATGGGCTGGTTGAGTGTATCGACTGGCCTCAGGATCAACTACTGGAAACAGGATGGTCAGAGTGGTGATCGGGTTAGGGAGGAGGGTGTCGTATGGGGGAGTCTCCTACGACTAATGATGGTGGTGGTAGGCCTCATCGAGACCTCCTCAAAGGGGAAGGGTTCGCAAAATCTTTGCGCGAACCGCTTGACCCTGGACCTCATCAGTTATTGCTTTAAAGGCAAAGTTCGGGCTCAGACCCACCTAAGAAGCCCTTACCATGGCTAGAAGTGCTGGGTACGCAAGTGCAAGGTAGCGCCACCTTTCTACATCGAAACGCGTCACTAGGACCCTAGGCGCCATGGACTTCTAACAGACTCCACCAAACTTAACATGGTCCGCCCACCGTTCGATATCTTGTCTGCGTCGCTGCGTTGATCTGCTATGCTCTCTCTTCTCGGACTTCTCTACCACTCTCCGCGCTCACATTATCTCTCATCTCCCTGCCTGTCTTTTGAACTTCTCCACAGCATAGAGCAAAATGCTCGTATTTCCTGTGTATTTCAGGATTTTCTTTCCTTTTTTTCTCCATTGGCGGTCCACCTCCTCATCCCTACTTTCACATTTGAGTGGAATCACCCCATCAATTTAATCCTGATTCTTGCCTTTAAGATAATACTGAGGGAGGGGACGACTCCCTCTCTAATGCATCCTTCTCCACCTTAGGGGAGGGGAATACAGAATATTGCGTGGGATTCAGCCATAAAATGGTTGCTGTAGCGGCCCTCTGCAGTTCGAGCATTCTACTGGCTGAGGAGTTCGGTGCGCAACTGAGGTGTCGCGCGGGTAGGGCAGCAGAATTATGGCTGGTCTTCTAACGCAACCTTGTCTTTCCCATCCTGAGAATAGCATCGGAGGAGGTGTACGCGACCTCCTGTAACGTCTAGGATGTCAGACTTTGCGAATTGAGCGAATCTTGGGGCTCGTGCGATGCAACTCGACACTGTTTGACCCATTTGCCCGTCTGCGGGCTCGTAGCGATGCAAACTCGACACTGTTTGACAGCGACGAGAGTCCCTCTCATACGTACGTTGACTCTTGCTTTCATGCCCTGCGGATAGTGTTGTAAGCACTTATATTCTCTCTATATCGAGTGGGCGGAAGTGGTGTAGTGACAAGTGGCGCGCTTACCACGCGAGCGGTCCGGGGATCAAATCCTGGGTCGTGAGTCGCCCGGGCCAACCAAGCCTTCCATCCCTCCGGGGTCGGTTAATTGGTACCAGACTTGTCTGGGAGGATAAAAACACTGACTTGTACATCGGCTGGCCCCGCAAGTCATTGTATAGGCCACATCGCATTCAAACGCCACTGCGAATGTACAAATGGAAGTAGAATGCGTGCCGCATCCCAAAAGGGATTGATCAACGGCAAATGCTTTATCCTTTTTTTATTTCCTCTATACAAGCCCCCCAGGCCATTTAGATGCTTATTTTGTGGCCAGAGATGGATGTGTGGTGCGCTTTACCGAGGCTTTTTAGTTCCCAGAAACTTCGAAATGAGACCTGTACGAATCGATAGAGCTTGATGTGCTGGTTATATGATGCTCAAACTACTACGTTTACCTGACAGGAAGTTGTGCGAGATCAGACAAAATTACTGACAAAATTTTGTGTTTCCAGCGGACACTTCCATATTGGTGCCGAATAGCGTCAGTGTCAAGAAAAAATGTCATATTCGTAATAGCGGCAATCGATATCCTTTGGGAGGAAATTTACCAAATATCAGTATACCAACATGTATTCACAGCTAACTTTAACCATCCAGAACTTCCTCGGCAGGTTCACGTAGCAATTCAGATCTCCAGGTCTTTGTAACCGGCCTTCAGCTCGATCGTTCTACCTAGATTCCAATTAGGAGTTCCATGGGAATTTGAGAACTTTTCCTGATTACTATTATGTTCAAGGGCACTAATGACTTCATCGTCCTTTCGGAAAGAGGGGTAGTATTTATAGGGAAGGGGGTTGACCATAACTATCGATGCGTTCTTCACCAAAGTGTAGAGAACCACCGCAATCCAAGACTCCAAGGAAGCACTTTTTCATTATCGCCTAATCTGTTATTGCTTCAGCTTGTGCATTATGAACGAGGTGTGATGATGCCCATTTACCTATCAACTTGGATTATTTTTAGGTGGAAACTTAGGTTGCTAGCACGCGGCAAAATTTTTGAACCCATTCATTGTATAAGAATCGGGCTCCACTTGAAGCTCTTGTTTGTAATCATGATTCCGTTCTAGATGTTGGACCAACCGTCGGCAAGTTCTGCATCATCACTTAGAACCGCTGTTTCGTCCCTTAAAGAAGTCCACAACTCGGCCAGTACGCTTAACGAGGATATGCGGGAATTGCTTGAGCAAGTGGAAATAGTTGAGAAACTACCCGATTCAACTAATCTCGCACAGATCGATGGTTGGCGATCGAGGTAAGGGAAGATATACGAATGTTGCGAAATATTCTTATTGCTCTTAACTAATTTTTAAAATCCGGATCCATTTTCTCAATTCGATGCCCAGATCGCGAACAGTAACGGACCTTTCGACATGTTAATGCATTCGCAGTTCTCAGCAGGCTTGGTGGTGACTGTGCACCGTATAGCTGTGTTCCAAATAAGCAGATGAAAACCGTGAAAGCAAATGGGCAAGCTCCATTATGCCTCGAAATTGTAGTTGCTTTATCGCATCCTCGATCTCGAAACATGAACATTACCTGAGACATTTTCCTCCCAGTCTTTTTCCGACACGCCATAATTAGGACTGAATAGAGATTTCTATGTTTTTTGTTGCAGCACATTAAAGGGAGATGTGAGCTTTGAGGCAACGTTGATAGGATGGGTTCCTTCAAGATAAGTGACTATTCGTGGATTAATGAGAGGGGGTTGAATTTTAGAAGGTAATGGACGGTTAGAGGACCAGGATCGGATGAAGAGCGGAGGATTGAACAGTTAAGTACTAATCCCACCTCCAGGATAATAAGCGTTCTCCCCTCTTGTCCTTACACAGCTCAAAATTGGTTACACTCATATGCATCAATATGCAACTATAAAAGACGGCATCATGGGTCACAGGGCAGCAGTCAACCGCGTTGCGCAGTTTCGCCCGATTAGACACGTTCTCTCGCGCGAACATTCACACTCGCATGCTCGAGCCGTCTGTGTCTCCGCCCATACAGCGTGCGTTGAGGATCTCTCAACGTGCCGTTGCGAACTGCGCAACGCAGGGTTGACTCTGCTCGCATGCCGTAAATATTGGACCACTGGACGTGTGGAGTCCTTAAGGTGAAGACTGAGTTCTTTTTTCGCTTGAACGCCATCAAATAGAAATTTTATTCGGAAGATTTCAGGCGATTGTGTGGGCTCTTTCCTCATCAAAAGGATGCTCCAGGCATTGGTGTGGCTCTTGCGCACGGATGCGAATGTATTGGTGCGAGATGGTCCGGCAGTTAAAAAAAATGAAAAGAATCCGTCCGAAACGCACAGTTCCAGGGATTAACACCTTCGCTGCTAGGGCAATGAGAGACTGCGCGGAGAGAAGAGTGTGAGAGAGAGCGCTACAGGTGAGAGAGCGCCTGACAAGGGAAAAAGATCTGCAGCTTTAGCAGCTTATTTTGCAAGGCCCAAGCGCTTTTCTCGGTTGTCCGGTGCCAGAACGCCCACATTTGTAAATGCCCTGTAGGGATCTATACAACAGACCGAAGGGAAGTATTCAGAACACCTCTGCCTGAGTTGTGCATTAAAAGGCTGCTTATTTTCTTGAATTTTAGACAAAAAACCCTTTCAATTTTAATGAAGCAGGTAGAACTTGTATGCATTACAGATTACTGGCGAAGATGAGGATGAAGTTATCGCAGCACGAAACGCAGTATCGTGATGTGGTTGACAGTCGGTGGACAGAGATTCTGAAAACAATTAGGAGGGAAGGCCCTGCAATGTTTCATGTCAGCTACAGTTTTGCGAGTGACCTACAACTCGTCGAAGACTTTTTCAGTGAAGTAGGAAATTTTAGAAATATTTGCTAAACTTTGGTCCGTTGTAAGACACAGAGCACCTACCCCGCATCGTAAGCGCGTCCCGATTACTGCACAACATATCTAGTTAATTTATGGCAGCGCAATTGTAACCTTTTTGCATGGTTTTTCAGGCACATCGGATCGCATCGAACAATGTTCTAATCTCATCAAATATTCGAACCGCTATTCCTGTCATACCGTATAATATAGATTCAGCAATATCCAGACTAATTTTCGATATCAAATCTTTGGAGCTTTTGTGATGTTGTCTAAGTTTTTGAATAAAATTTCATTTATTTGCAATTGGTTCGAATTTTGTTACGTTTGAAGCACTAATACTTTTTCATAGCAACCATGACAGCGATTTGTTCGTGTTCAATTGCCCAGGCACAGAGACCAATGATTTCAGAATGTCAGGTTATTTCCAAGGTCAAGAGTATACGTCATTTGAAGAAGAGGAGAATATCACGAGTCTAGAGTGAGTAATTTCTCTAGTATTAATGGGATGGGACTCACACAATCCACATTCTAGACCTGTTCTCAAATCATTGAAAAGCAAGGCGACTGGCTCATTCACAGCAGGGTTTCCGTACGATACCAAGTTTGTTAGAGCTCTGCTCAAGGATGTCCATGTAATGGCGATAGGAGATTCGTGTAAGTTGTTTTTCGAGTTTACTAGGGTACAATTTATTACATTGGCGTCATTTCAACTTTCTGATTTCTGTTCCTCTCTTTTACAATTATTACTAGCTGAAAAAATAAGGCATCAACACACGCACATTGGTTTTTACTCGCTTTTGCGATCCCATGAGTCTTCAAGATTGGCTGGCACGGAAAAACGGTTTAACGCATCGGTTTGGACTCGCCCGAAATTCATTCCTATCGACTTTTTTTTAATCACAGCTTGGTCTACATCTACAACTCATCAGTGGCTGATCTAGTTATAGCCATATTTGTTACCTCTGCCAGGATTTTCTTTTTGCTATAATGCGCAGGAAACGCCGAGCCAGTCTGCATTTGTTTACGTTCAATGAAAAAAGGCCAAAAAAGCTCAAAATTGCTCTGATGAATTACCAGCATCCTTGAAATGATTGCCGAGAATCTGATAATTTTATGAAGAGTTGAGATCGCTCAGAAGGAAAGGACACTGTGGAAACCAAGGAAAGTGTTGCTCTGAAATATACATGCATAGGAACGGACAGCTTTTCTTGGTGTGCTCAATGTGAAACAGACTATCCCACCTTGAAGTAGGGCATCACCCTCAAACTGCGCCCCCTTCACCGAACGCTC